TATAGTGATGTGCTGAAAGAGGAGACTTTCAGGGTGACACTATGGAATTTAGCTTACTTTGAAAGTTGAAATACTGAAAATTTATGGTATCCTTGCCATTTTATTCTGTTTACAAGTATACGAGAAAGTTGGAGCTAATGTAGCCATCTTACTTAATTCTAGCCCTACTGTTACCTGTGCAGAGGGGGGTCTTCTCAAGTGTAAGCAGATCAGTACTGGACAAATGACGTTTTTACCCTTACATAAATTCTTTCTCTCTCTCTCTCTCTCACTTGCTTGCTTGTTTTATAGGGAAGAATGCTTCAATTTCCAGATGCTTTCATCACCTATCCTTGCTGTTAATCCTTCCAAGTATCTCTCTAACACACACACACACACCCTCAAGTGTTTTCAAATTAATGGATCCCCTCCCTTACCAACTGACTCCTTATCCTCGGGGAGGAAAGACTTTCCCCAGCCATACCGAAGCCTGCTTTGAGCGGACCTATACCAGATCCATGGGGAAGCCACGGATCCATCCCCTTTGAAATGTATTCTGGCCAACTCACCGTGACAGAGGGCACTTCGAATGTTTGATTTCCCTCCCTATTGGTGATTTAATCCATGTTGTCTTCCTAGCACACATTATCATTCCATGTCACCTCTTTCCCCTTCCCCCAATTCCATCACAGATGGGTTTTAAGTTGAAATGAGGGTAGCGTTAACACAAGCTGGGCCTCCATGTAGGGGGCATTCCAGAGCTGAGGTGGCCCTCTCTTGTGTCTCCACATACCGTGGGACAGAGAAGAAGACCTTCGTGGCAAATCTCCCTGCTCACGTAGGTCATCGTGGGCTTCCTGTGGCTAGCCAGTTGGCCACAATATGAACAGAAAGTTGGACTAGAGGGGCCTTTGGTCTAGATAGACCAGCTTCAGGGTTCTCCTTATGTTCTTAAGAAGATAGGTCAACCTCTCATCTTCAGAGATCTTCACAAACAGGAAAGGGAAGCTGCAAGAAAAATGGGTCCGTGTTTGCACGGGGGTAAAGAGGAGTGTAATGTGGAGCCAAACCAGACATGCATCTTTGCTGGGAAACACGCAGGTAGAGTTCATGTTAGAGAAGCAAATTTAATTTGGCTTTCAATGTGTTGTGTAGATTGTTCCTAGTATTGGACAGACACAGAAATTTGCTGGTTAATCACTTCTTTCTCTCTTGCTGTAGTGGGGTCCAGAGGAAGGTAAAAAGGTTCCCTGAGCCTTCCACGTTGCCCACATGCTGCATTCCACCCTGCAGAAACCTGAGAACCTAGAATTATTTCTTAACATCCGTTCTCTGCTTTCCTCCAGTGGGGTCCGGTGGAGGCGCTGGAGACCGCCATGTTGCCCGGCCACCGCACCATGAACCCTTGCCCGGTTTATGACAGAAAAACTGGCACCGTTTTCCTCTTCTTCATCTGCGTCCAGACCCACGTTACAGAGTGGCACCAAATCCGGACAGGGAGGAACGCGGCCAGGCTGTGCTACGTCTCCAGCCAAGATGGCGGCCACACCTGGAGCCAGGTGACCGACCTGACAGACCAGGCGATCGGGGACGACTTGAGAAACTGGGCCACTTTTGCTGTCGGGCCAGGCCACGGCGTCCAGTTGACCTCCGGGCGGCTGGTGGTTCCAGCCTACACCTACCACATCCACAAGGAGCCTTCTGGTGACAAAGTTGTGTCTTCGACGGAGCCCCATTGCTTCATATTGTACAGCGATGATGGTGGGCAGAATTGGGCCCATGGCCAACTTCTGGAGAATTTGCGAACCACAGAGTGTCAAGTGGCTGAGTTGATCCACCAGGACGACAGCAAAATTTTATATTGCAATGCGCGCAGTCCTGACCGGAAGCGGGCCGAAGCCTTTACCAAGCTTGGCCTGGACCGTTTTGAGGCGTCCTCTCTGTGCGAAGATTTGTCCGAGCCACCCCATGGTTGCCAGGGAAGCATCGTGAGTTTCACCCCCATGCTGAGACCTTTGGAGTCGGATCGGTCCTTGATGTCCCTCAAGAGCACTAAATCTTGGCTGATCTTCTCGCACCCCACCCATGCACACAAGCGCACGGATCTGGGTATCTACCTGATGACCTCCGCTCTGGAAAAGGGATGCTGGACAAAACCCTGGGTCTTATATAAAGGACCCAGCGGCTACTCGGATTTGGCCGTGTGTGAGGAGGGCGAGTCGCTGACGTTTGGCTGCTTGTTCGAGTGCGGCGTTTCCTCAGCCTGTGAGGAGATTGCCTTTCAACTCTTCAGGGACATTGACCTCTTGAGGAATGTGAGGGAATGTTGCTCTCGTCCTGAGACCCCCTCGGAAGCATCACTAAGCTAAACGGATCCGGACGATATTCAGCGCTCAAGAACAGCCCGCGAGAACCTGCCATTTTTCTTCTCCCGCCCATCTTTGTCACGAAGGGAGTCTCTTCTTTCGGGCTTTTCCTTTGTAAATTGGGCCACCTTGCCAGGATAGCTTCTATGTCCTCCTCCCCTTCAGCGTCTGCTTCCCGTTCTAATGTTTGGAAGTCTCTTATGAAAATTAATTGCTTTCCATCCAGAAACAGGAGTGGGACCGGATTCAGCCCTTGATTTGTGCCTTCTGGAGAACTCGGCAGCATCTGAATTGTGTCTCAGACACCTTTCGTTACTTGACATCTACTCTGCCTGAACACAACATTTCTTGTAAGGAGCAACCCTATTTCTGGAAGTCTCTTTCGAAAATTAAAGCAAAATGACAACCAAAACTGAAGTGACCTGCCCCTCTGATGACAGGAATTTATGCCTCCAGCCTCAGGGGTTATTGCTTTCCACCCAGAAACAGGAGTGGGACCAGGTTCAGCCCTTGATTTGTTCCTTCTGGAGACCTCCGGCAGCATCTGAATTGTGTCTCGGACACCTTTCGTTACTTGACATCTACTCTACCTAAACACAACGATTCTTATAAGGAACAACCCTGTTTGGGTTGAGCTGGTGGCCTGAGTTGCCTTCAATATGTCTTGATCAGTGGTTGGCAGGAAATAGGGTAACGTCCCACTGTGTTCATTCAGGGGGACTTACTCCCAAGTAAATGTGCAGCCAATGCAGAGTAAGGGACAAAATGTTGCATTCGGAAGGCCTGGATTCAAATCTTCACTCACCTAGGAAACTCATTGAGGGTGGGCAAGTTCAAACCTCTCCTTGAACATCAGGTTGCATTCGGAAGGCCTGGATTCAAATCTCCACTCACCTAGGAAACTCATTGGGCGTGGACAAGTTCAAACCTCTCCTTGAACATCTTGAAAACCTTACGAGGGTCCCCATAAGTTGTGTAAATAAATAAATAAATAAATAAATAAATAAAATCTTGCAAACCTTGGAAACCTTATGTGGGTCCCCATAAGTTATTGTGCAAATAACTTAGTGGCACATAGAGGTGTACAAATGTGAGTTTTAGGACTACACTCACAGAATTTGCCAGGCGCCCTTATGACAAAAATAGAATTCTGAGCACCTTTAGCACGTAACTAACAGGACGCTCATAGAACAGCCTGCCGTCTTAGTTTCTCGTTTGGACGTTATTTCCCTTAGTCTTGGCAGGGCTCAGCTACAGCAGGAGACATTTTGTTGTGTTGTCAGTATTTGAAATTTTGTTTTATAAGAGTCCTTGGGAAAAGTATGGAGGAAGGCAGGGAAATGCCTTAAAAGTAAAGCACTGTTTAAAACTACATTTTGGACCTGCTGCTCTGAGTCTTTCAGTGAACTTGAGTGTCATCCTTTGGAAAATTGTAAAAATGCAGGTTTAAGACTTCACGTTTTTGATATGTTGAACAGCAGTTATGTCAAATTAAGGATTAGTCAAAACCACAATGTTTTAGTAAACAAACTTTGCCGACTTAATGAAACTGAACCAGATGGGCATGAAAGAATTTGAATTGGGCTGGTATGTGTAGAATTTCCTGCTATGGAAAATCCGTATTTAGTAAAAACAAGATAAGAGGAAAGGGAAACAATTGAGAAGAGTTAGAAAAATGTGGAAGTAGGACTGACAAAAATCTTCTGCAGGATGAGGCCTTCGTTCATAACAAGACAACTTTGCATTATGTTGCACATGTAGAACATCAACATCAGAAAATGAACCATCAGATTTTATTCATAGACTTTGAAAGCCTTTGGCTGGGCAAGAAATATTTTTGGTCTGTGTTCTTAACATGCATAGAGGCTATTTTTCATTTTCTATATTCTAAGAACTTCAACCTTACAGTATTCTGTGTTTATTTGTAAGAGGGCTTTTAAGGCTTCTAAAGGCTTTTAAAATTGTGATGCTTTTTCTTTTTAAATAATTTTATTCTAAAGATGTATTCTCTGCCTTTATCGACGATAAAGCTCCTGCATTTTTTTTAAAGAATGTCACTTAAAACGTTCTTTCTGATATGGGTCTGTATTTTGCTCCTATATTTTTGTCTTAAGGGTTTGCCCACCATTGAAGCTCAGTTTTCATCTATTTTTAAGTCGTGCCAGAGTTTTTCTAATTACAGTAGGATTCTCAGACGACAACCCTTGAAGTGATTTTTATGCAATGTATAAAAAACGTTTATATCCATCGACAAGCTGATGTGGCCTGGAATTATTGCAGCAATGAAAAAAAACAAGCTGATGTGGCCTGGAATTATTGCAATGAATTATTGCAATTATTGCAATGAAAAAAAATTATATTATGATACTCAGATGAACACTACAGTAATTTGATTGTGATTGTTTGATTTAATTTGGGGATTATCCCTTAATTGGGATGCCAGCTGTGATGAACACCAGGCTTCTGACCTTTGCTGGGGGTGGGTGGGTTTCTACATACCTCTGGGGGAGTCAAGCACCCTATCTTGGGATCTGATGGTGTTATGTGCCGTTGAGTCTCGTCCACTTTATGGCAACCCTAAACAAGTTTTTTTTCAAAGTATTTGAGATCTATTCTTTCCGTGAGTTTCCATGGCCAAGCACGGGATTAGAACCCAGATCTTCTGAGTCCTAAGTCTGACCCCTCTGTCTGCTAACTGCACCACACTGGCATCTTTCTGTACCTGGTCATTTTTAGTGTCCTTTTAAGATGTGATTCCAAAGTGGACCCCACTGCACATCAGTCTCTAGGCCAATTTTATCTGATCATTTCAGAGAAGGCTATGTTCCCCTTGTTCTGGGTCGCATAAAGGGCAGTGGTCAATTTTTATTAATTTGTGTGTAGTCCTGAAATAGCCAAGATTGAGGCTGTGGGGGCTTTTAAGTTCCCCCTCTTGTTAGAGGTTACTCTATGCTGAGTCAAACAACTAGAAAAAGTGTGTTTTAGGAGTAGAATTCCCAGGATTCCCTGCAGAGCGTGTTCACTAGCTGCATTGGCTCAGGTTTCTGGCAGTTGTAGACCAAAAAGAAAACTTTCCTAGCTTTACTAGGAGTATTGCCCACCTCTTTATTTCAGAGGGGCAAACATCACCCTCATCTTAAAACTGCAAATCTGGAAGGGACCCTAACCGTTAGAGCAGTACGACAGTGGAACCTGTGACCTCGGGAGGTGGCAGGCGCTCCAACGCTGGAGTCCTTCAAGAGAAACCTAGACAACCCCCTGGCAGATATCCTTTGATTTGTATTCCTGCATCGAGCAGGGGGGGTTGGACTGGATGGCCTCACAGACCCCTTTCAGTTTCAACATCCTAGGAGTCTGTCTGAATTTGCTTACATACAAAAAACCACATCTCACCTTTTTTCCATTACAATTTCGCAGTGGGGTGACTTTGAAAAGTACCGAGAGAGCTTGCAGATGGAGAGTGGAGAATTTATAAAGGTATGGAAAGCCCCTTACTGGGGAGGAACAGCAGAGAATAGAGAGAGAGGAAGAGGATAAAGGAATGTGAGCGTTTGAGAGAGAAGACCACATGTCTAACCCCCCCCCCCCCGGTGAGGGTGAAAGCCGTTCACCTCACAAACCTGCAGAAACCCCGGGCGAGAAAGTTTGCAAACCAGCAATAAACTAGGTGTTTCACCCTTAGACCTGGGTACAGTGTCAGCTTCAGCGATTTACGAAACTCGTGTTATTACCTGTTGCAAGTTTGGTTGAGACCCAAGAAGAAGATGTCAACGTTGCAAAAAAACGACATTCCACCCCAGGAGGCAACGTCTTGGCGCCAAAAGTGGAAAGAAACAAGATTCAATGTGCTTCAACCTTGTTTAATAAACCAGTTGAGTTAAAACCTGAAGGGACGCCTGATGTTTTGACCGGAGAGACGAGACCAGAATCGGGAGGGGGCTCGCCAGATCCTTACAAACAGCAAGAGCAGTATGACAACAGAACCCATGACCTCGGGAGGTGGTGAGCGCTCCAACGCCGGAGGGCTTCAAAGGAAAATTGGATCGCAGGACAAAAGAATGATGGGCTCAAGTGAAAGGAAGCCACAGAAATGATGGGCTCAAGTGAAAGGAAGCCACATTTCGCTTGAATATCAGGAAAAACTCCCTAAATGTTAGAGCAGGGCGACAGTGGAACCCATGACCTCAGAGGGAGGTGGTGAGGGCTCCAACGCTGGAGACCTTCAAGAGAAAAATGGGACCACCCTCTGTCGGATCTGCTTTGACTTGGGTTCCTGCCTTGAGCAAGGGGGTTGGACTGGATGGCCTTAGAGGCCCCCTTCCGACCATGATTCTAGGATTCTAAAATGCAATTCTAGTTGCTTTTTCTCCTCCCAAGAGAAATCGGTTGATTGGTTTAAATCATTTCTGCACATAAACAAACAATTAAATAAACAAATAAGCAAGCAAGCAAGCAAAACCAGGGGTGACCAGATGGGTGGCATCAAAGGAAGCGTGTGTGTGTATCAAATTGCATCAGATTGGGGGGGCCAGTGTGTGAACCTGAGCAATCCAGAGTCTTCTGGCGATCAACCATAAAAGGGGCTGCAGACCAAGCCATGGCTTTGAAATTAATGTCAGTGTAGTTGGACTCTCAGATTCCAGCACCAGGCAAGACCCCTGGATCCAGACTAATAAAAGTCGGTGTCGATCATTATGAAGTTACATACAAGGCAGGCTTTTGAGTCCTGCAGGATGGCGAGTCAGGTTTAGCAGGGAGTGAGAAGGCTGCAAAGAAGGAAGGACATACCAGCCACACCAGCACTGGGGAAGGCTGGCAGCCCAGTCCCCCCTTCCCCTCTGTCCTCAGGCCTGGACAGGAGCCGTCACCAAGAAAAGGAGAAGCCAGTTTCCTCCCCAAAAGAAGGTGTTGACAGCTTCCTCAAAAAGATATTTAAAAGTGGATTCGATTGGGAGGCGTTGCTGTTTTGTTTCCCTAACACCGGATTTCAGCAAAAAGTCCCAAAAAATCTGCCCTTCTCATACGACAGTCGTTCTTCTAAGTAGACATGAAAGATTCTTTTCTGGGGTTGCCTTTTTGGCTTTTGAGTACAACCCCCATATCCGTGGCATCAGTATCCACTGATCCACTTTTTTAAAAAATCCTAGAAATATATGTTTCTAAAGGTGAAGTTGCCACAATCGTCCACTAGAAGGGGCCAGAGAGAGAGAGAGAGAAAGAGACCATGCTCTGTTACAGCGTTGCCAACTATCCGCGTTTCCCAGCCTGAGCTTGAAACCGATCCCCGCGGATAAGGGGAACCTTGTTTTTCGGAGTTGCAAAGCAAGGACCACGCATTCCGTGCAAAACTAAACGGCTCAGGTGCCCCAATTGACTGTCAACTTAGAGACTTCCCCCGAGGAAAAAGCCGTCCCCTGCTGCGGCGCCGCCTGAGGCTCCAGCATTCCTCCGCATTCCCCAGGTGAGAAAACCAGGTGCGCGAGAGAGAGAGGAGCGCATCTTCCCGGGGATGCAGGTGGGCGGGGTGTTGCAGGGGGCGGGGCCAAAAGGGAGGGCGGAGCTTCCCCCGCCCCCCCATCTGATGAATTAAAGAGCCGGCTTTGCAATGCGCTGGACGGGACCAAATCCTGCGGCAGCGGCGGCGGCGATCGTAAAGGATGGAGGCAGGAGGCGCAGGTGAGGCACCTGTGGGGAGACCCTGGGACCTTCTGCTTGGGGTGGGGGTCCTGAGCCAGCCAGCCCCCCTTTTCTTTTCTCCACCTTTCATGTCTTGGGGCCCGATCCCCGCCTCCGGGGGCCCGATCCTGCTCCCCGGGTCTTCCCTCCTGAAGAGCCGGCTGTAACGTGAGTGATGGGGATTTGGGGCTGGGGGGGGAGGAAGAGGAGGAGGGGAAGGAGGACACTATCCAGCCTGATTTCCTCTCCCCCCCCAAACCTGGAAATGACCCTCCCCAGGCCGAGAGTGTGAAGGGATGGCATCAGATCATGCCTTCGGAATAGTATCTCTGATTCTCCCCCTCCCCAAATTCGGGATCGGAATGTGTCTTCTCCGTCCCAGCCATCCTACACAAGCGGGTGCGTCCCTCATTAATTCCTTAATTAAATTACACGCGTGCGCTCTTTCCACGCCAGTTCTAGAGGGGATCATTTCCTCCGCAGACCTGCGGGGTGTGTGAGGTTGATGGGGAGAGGGAAGGGAGCTTGCCGGGGGGGGGGGGGGTCTGCTTGAGGGCATCCATCATCCTTTCTCCACACCTTTTGCTGTTAAAAAAAAAGGGGGAAAGAAAAGGCGATTGGTTGGGGTGGCCAGTGTGAAATGGTTATCAGGTTGCCAAGGGTTTTTGATGATGATGATGATGATGATGGAGATAATGGAAGGTATAGCTCCAGGCTTTTCCTCTGTTCCAAAGGTAAGTATGCCTGGTCCACAGAACCAGTGGGGGAAAACACCTTGATTTCCCACTCCTGTTAACACAATCCAGACCTAACTCCCCCACTCCCCCCCCAAAAATACCCTTCTACTCGTAAAACTCCCTGATCAGGATGATGCCAAGCAAGCCCCTTTTAAAGGGTGCCACCATTGTTCTCTCTAAACCACTTTGGGTGCTTTTTTTAAAGGATGAAGGCAAGGTCAAAATATGTTAAATAAATAAAGACACCCGCATTTTCTGACCGGCAGGATTCCCTTTTGATGCTTCTTGGTGGCTTGTCTCTCTCTTTGCAGCCTCGCAGAAGAACTGGGGGGGGGCTCCCCAGCCCCAGAACACAGCACCCTTTCTTCCAGCCCCACAGAGCATCTTTTTAAATATACACGCACACCACACAGGCAAAAAAACGGTGCCCTCTCCTTTCCCCCCTTTCCCTTCCTGGCTGAATGCCACCCCGCTTTTTAAAAACTAGCCATTTTTCTTACAGCTTCCCACTTGACACCACTACTCCGAGGGAAAGACTGGCTGTGCCAGATGGCAGATGCCAAGAAAGGGACCCCCTTTTCCTAGGTCTGCCATGTCCCACCAAAACCACCCACCCTCCCTTAGTTTTCATGGGAAACGGGGAGAGAGAGACCATCAACATCCATGTGTCCAGGTCTGGAACTCTGGCTTTGAAATACCTCTCTAATAAGCCTGTATTCTTCCCCCACCATTTAAACACACAGGGTGTGTATTCTGTGTGCACTCAGACACCAGACGCAGAAGAAGGGTTTCCAGAAGACAAAGCCTGTCAAAGAAAGCCACAAATGGGGCATCCAATGGAAGGAACAAGCTTTTGAACCACACAGAACTCTTAGGGCTTAATCTCGGCAAGGTGGGAGAGCCATCCACAGGGTATTGCTGGGAGAGCCGTGTTAGATCTGATTTGGAGAAGGACCGTAGAACAGGTAGGGCAAATCACAGAATGGTAGAATAATTGTGTTGGAAAGAGATCTCCAGGACCATTGAGGCCAACCTCCTGCTCAAGGTGGGAATCCCAAACAAAGCAAAACGGGTTGTCTCGTTTCCTCTTGAAGGCCTCCAGCGCTGGAGTGCTCAACAACCTTACTGAGGTCTCTGGTTTCATTGCCGTACTGCTCTAACAGTTAAGAAGTTTTCCCTGATTTTCTGATATTTTCCACTGTGCCATTTTCCTAGTTAAAATCAGGTCCCCAGCATTTGCCCCATGTATGTCGGACAACCGACAGATCAGGGTCGATTTGATTTAAATCAAATTGATTTTTATCCACCCTTCTACAGATCCTACAGAGACCTCTGGGTTTCTCCTCTTGTGAGAGATAACTGCTTGAGGATTGATAGGAGGAACCCTAGGGGGGAAAGCATTAAACCTTCTCGTTCTACAAAGCTGGACGTGGAAGCAGCTGCTACTAAAAATTGGGACGGAGGACTTACTACCTCCTGCCTGCTTGGACCCATGGATCTCTTGTATCGTGTCTGGGTTGGCGTTTGTCTCAACATAAGATACAGAGGC